CCTCTAAAATACAGCCTACAGTACCTGGTATTTGTTGGTTATCTCCCATCCAACCGCTAAGCAGGACTGACCCTGGTTACAGCCTGTTCTGGAGCGGGTTACACTCCCTCTGAAGGCACAAGTTCGTAGCTTGGCAGTGATCCTGGATTCATTGCTGAGTCTGGAACCCCAAGTTTCGATGGTGGCTAGGGGAGCTTTTGCACAATTAAAAATTGTGTGCTAGTTGCACCCATACCTTGGGAAGTCAGACTTGATCACAGTAGTCCACACTCTAGTTACAATCCCACATACTCTATGTGGTGTTGCTTTGAAGACTGTTTGAAAGCTTCAAGTGGTCTAACGGGAAGCAGGCAGATTTCTCATCGGAGCAGGGTACAGGGAGTATATAACCCCCCTGTTATGTCAGCTCCACTGGCTGCCAGTCTGGTACTGAGGACAATTCAAAGTGCTGTCTTGATCCTATAAAGCCCTACATAGTTCCAGTGCAGTTTACCTGTCCGAACATATCTCCCTCTATGAACCATCTCAGAGGCTAAGATTGTCTGCTGTCAGTCCCGCCTCTTTTGCAGGCGCGACTGGTGGGGACGCGAGACAGAGCCTTCTCAGTGGTGGCCCCTCGTCTGTGGAACTCCCTCCCCAAAGAAATTAGATAAGCGCCTTCCCTCTTGGCTTTCATAAAAAAGCAAAAATATGACTGTGGAACATTTGGGCAGTAAGCAGGAAAAGAAACGAATATAGATTATGTGCAATTGTTATTTGATACTAGAATGGTCTGGACTATGCTTTGGATTATGTGATTTTAATGTTTATATTCATATGTTTTCAATGCATTGTTTTAATGTTCAAATGTAGCTACATTTTATGATTTAATTTATAGTTTTATGTTATTGTTGTTAGGTTTTCATGTTTTTTAAGCTTTGAATTTTGCTGTGAATATGTCTGAAACTGCTTTGAGAGACCCCCCCGGGGTGAGAAAAGTGATATATAAATGAAGTAAATAAATAATGTATAGCTTCCAAGATTAGACAGGCTTTAGTACTTTTTGTGCATTTAGGCCCTTGCTTTTCTTTTATGAAGCTAATCTTTTCCATAAAATACTAAGATAGAAGTCTTTTATGGTTAAGAGTTCCGGATGTTCTTTTCTAAAACTCTCATCGATTTCTGAGCTGTAGTCGAAAACATAGAGGACCAATTGCTACGCCAGATTACCTCTTATGCTAAGAAGTTACAAAAGCTTCTCTGTCTCAGTGCCAGATTTTGATTATAGTACAGGGTTTCTTCTTACGGGCACCTGAATGCTAGAAGCCAAACTATTTACCTCAGAGCTTTGATTCAGCTTCTTTAATGCAAGGTAAGCAGCCAAGACAATGAACCTGTATTTTGTATATTGGAGTTGGGCTGCCAAGCATAAGGTTAGTGCCTCATAAATAAGGATGTTATCTAATATTCAGGGAATAATTTTTAATTAGTTTAATTTTTCCCCATAAACATTATCCTCCAACAATGTATTTCAAACCCAGAACAGTGAGGTGTAGGTTTTGGTTTTCAGAAGGGGCTGGGTTTGAAAAAGTAGAAAAGAATTAAAGATTCAGAGGAAAAGATGCAACAAACTTCCTGTGGCCCAATGTCACCACAAAATGTGAAAGCCTGGCTGTGAATGTCACATTTTTCATGGCGTGTTTGAATAAATGTTGAAATACATACTGCCAGATATCACATCTGATCTGTACTTCTTAGATTACTTCATTCTTTGCCTGGTTTGTAATTCTGATGAACGTCGGTAGTGCAGGTACATATCCAAGAAGCATTTCAAACATACTCTTTCTGACGGGTGTGGTGGATACTTTCTAGGTACTGCAATGCCCTGAAATACATGTTAAAAATCCTTATGAGATTGAAGAACTATGAAGAAGATGACAAGCTTTGGAAAGAGAATATGATAGCCATGTATAAATATGTGAGAGGAAGCCACAGAGAGGAGGGAGCAAGCTTGTTTTCTGCTTCCTTGGAGACTAGGACGCGGAACAATGGCTTCAAACTACAAGAGAGGAGATTCCATCTGAACATGAGGAAGAACTTCCTGACTGTGAGAGCTGTTCAGCAGTGGAACTCTCTGCCCCTCTGCCTCTCTGAGTGTGGTGGAGGCTCCTTCTTTGGAAGCTTTTAAACAGAGGCTGGAGGGCCATCTGTCAGGGGCGATCTGAATGCAGTATTCCTGCTTCTTGGCAGGGGGTTGGACTGGATGGCCCATGAGGTCTCTTCCAACCCTTTGCTTCTATGATTCTATGTTTGATTTGCCAGAGGTGGATAATTTTACTTCAGGTGTCAGGGAGCTTGGGGGATCACAAAAGAACTGTAGGGTAAAAAATGTGTTTCGGGGACTGCACTTATCCCTGTCCTTAATGTCGAACAAAATCAGCTACTATATGCCTCTCCTTGCATGTTAGGAGAGTTTGCCTTCTCCTTCTTCTAATATTTAATAGCTTTAGTATACTCAGGAATTGACATTTTGTCTCTTTTGTAGAAAACCTATACTTTTGTGTGTATTCTCTTATTCAAATTATTTCTTATTTCAATTTAACCTGAGATTACTAAAGTCAGGATAGGATGCATTCATAACAACTATTATACTGCATTAGAAGCAAATTACTTTCCCTGTTGCCATTCAGTCAGCCCATGACTATGAACTCTTATGAACATAATTGTTGTTGTTCATTCGTTCAGTCCGACTCTTTGTGACTTCATGGACCAGTCCACGCCAGAGCTCCCTGTCGGTCGTCACCCCCTGCTCCTTCAAGGTCAATCCAGTCACTTCAAGGATGCCATCCATCCATCTTGCCCTTGGTCGCCCCCTCTTCCTTTTTCCTTCCATTTTCCCCAGCATTATTGTCTTCTCTAAGCTTTCCTTTCTTCTCATGATGTGGCCAAAGTACTTCATCTTGGCCTCTACTATTCTTCCCTCCAATGAGCAATGTTTATTTTCTGAAGTATGGACTGGTTGGATCTTCTCGCAGTCCAAGGCACTCTCAGCACTTTCCTCCAGCACCACAGTTCAAAAGCATCTATCTTCCTTTGCTCAGCCTTCCTTATGATCCAGCTCTCACATCTGTAGGTGACTATGGGGAATATCATAGCTTTAACTATGCAGATCTTCATTGCCAGTGTGATGTCTCTACTCTTTACTATTTTATCGAGATTGGACATTGCTCTCCTCCCAAGAAGGAAATGTCTCCTGATGTCCTGGCTGCAGTCTGCGTCTGCAGTAATATTTGCACCTAGAAATACAAAGTCTGTCACTGCCTCCACGTTTTCTCCCTCTGTTTCCCAGTTGTCAATCATTCTTGTTGCCATAATCTTGGGTTTGTTTTTTTATGTTTAACTGCAACCCAGTTTTTGCCCTTTATTCTTTCACCTTGATTAGAAGGCTCCTCAGCTCCTCCTTGCTTTCGGCCATCAAAGTGGTGTCATCTGCATATCTAAGGTTGTTAATGTTTCTTCCAGCAGTTTTAACTCCAGCCTTGCATTCGTCAAGCCCCGTACATCGCATGATGTGTTCTCTATACAAGTTGAATATGAACATAATAGCTACTAGGAAATCCCTTCCACATATTGTTTGGTGTGGTTTAGTCCCAAATAAGCATGCATAAAGTAGATTGCATGTACCTTTATTTCCACCTTGGAAGGCTCAACTATAACACCTGTCCTAAATTTTGGGATATAGTTAAGTCAGGCATGGGTCAACTTTGGCCTTTCTGCCAGGTGTTTTGGAATTCTTTCTTTGCTTCATGTATGTTTCAAACAGTGTTCTCATTTCAATAGTTGATTGATGTAGTGACATGTACTGTGAAATACCCAAAGAATATATTTTATAGCACAGTTATGTGTAAACACATTAAGCAGCACCATGTAAGAGAATGATCTTGTTCAGTAACCAGCAATTCAGTTGCCTCACATGTGACTGAATATATTACGGTACCAAGTTGATCTTTTTTCCATTGAGTGGGCAGTACTACATTGCTGTTTAAAAACCCATAAATCTGAAGAATTTTGAAGAGTTGACTCAGTTTTGGGGATATTTTTGACATATTATTGTTCAGAATGTTTCTGCTGCTATAGGAAGAATGGGCTATTCCTCTTACTGTGAATATTCAGTTGCATTAGTTGTTGTGAGAATACTCAGGTTAATGAAGGCAAAAATATTTGAGTCATGCTGGTAAGCAGTATTAAAAAATCTGGAAACTCAATGTGTAAGTGACCTTGAAATATGCCTTCACATGTTTGCATTAAACCTGCTGCATTGTTAATGGAGTTGCGCAGAAATGGTTTGCCATGGAGGCTCCATATTCATCATCTGGTTCTGTGCAACATCTGCATTCCGAAGTGGTACATTTAAGCCTGTGCCAGGTGATTGCATCTGAATGTGTATCTTAAATTCTGAGTTGATGAACTTGAGGAAATGGTCACCAGCCAGTTTAACTTGCTATCAAATTGGTGTTGTAAGGATAAAAAGGACAGAATCCAATATTTTTGTCTGAGTTGATTTCAGAAGAGAAAATGCAGATATGAAATATCACCACAACATGATAGACTTCGTAAAGATACCAGAAAAATGAAGCCACAATATCCAGATTATACTTCCCCACCCGCATATAACTTGCCATATTTCAATATTCTCCAATTAATACGCCACATCCAGCTGTGCTGAGCTAATGATATAAGCAGGACACTCATTCAACCATGGCCGCCTCACTGCGCCCTGCCATTGGCTTGAATGAATGGTCTGTGGATTAAGTGGCTGTAGAGTTTGCAAATACATTGGAAATAATAAAAGAATTAAGGAACACGGCAAGGAAGAGAGCTGCCAGCTGGCTCCAAGAGCCATTCCAGGTTTGGCTTGTGCCTCTTTGGTGGCCACTAAGCGGTTTAGAGCTAGTTACTTGTGTAAGGCGTGTAATCCCACATTCTGCTCTCACTGGGAACGCCTCCTCCTGACCAGTTGGAGCTGCCATCTGTCAAATGAAAATTATTTCAAATCACAGTGATCTGGATTGGATAGAATTGGCTTCATGATCCGATCTCCATTCAATATTGGGAAGTAAATACGTTTTCAACTGAACTCGCACTATTTACAGAAGTCTGCATGTGTTTTTTTAAAGACTACTTATTGCTATAGCTCCTAAGAGGAAATGACAGTGTCTGCTGGTGTTAGTTCATACAATTGATATCTTTTTGAATTGGTGTTCTGGAAATAGGTCTCGCCAGCCAAGCCTTTTTGGAGATGTTTTCCTCCTCCTCTTTATGTTCTTCCTCCTTCTCTTCACCCTGCTTCTCCTCCTGTTCCTCCTCCRCCCGCCTCTTCCAGTWGTTCTTCTTTRTCCTTCCCTTCCTCCTTCTCCTCCTTCTGTGCTTCTATCTCCACCTCCTCCTCCTGTTCATTCTCCTTTTCCTCCTCCTCCTCTTTATGTTCTTCCTCCTCTTCATCCTGCTTCTCCTCCTGATATTGCTCCTTTCTCTTCCTTMTGTTCTTCCTTTTACCCCTGTTCTTCATCCTCCACCTCTTCCTCCATCTCCTTCCCTTCCTCCTCCTCCAGTTCTTTATTCTCCTGCTCCTGCTCCTTTTCTCCCTCCTCCTCTTCCTTCTCTTCCTTCTTCAGTTCTTTCTCCTTTTCTTCCTCCTCCTTCTCTTTCTGTTCTTCCTTCTCCTTTTCCTCCTCCTTTTCTTCCTCCTCCACATCCTCCTCCCGTTGTTCTTCCTCCTCCTTTCTTTCCTCCTCCATTTGTTCTGGATTTGTCTTTCCGATAGCTTCAGATACCTATGCACTGAGATGACTAGCAGGGCAAGATCCACAGCTGTTGTTTGTGTGTGCATGGTGGAAGAGACAGCATGTGGTGAACTTCTTTCTGTTGGATTAAAGCTCTCCAGTCCCCAAAAGTCCTTTAGGATAGTTTAATTTAAGACTGTTGTATGAGCTAAGTGGAGGCTCTCTTGTTTGTGTTGGAAGTCTATGTTCTATTGAGTTTTGGTTACCTGAATATTTGTGTGAACAGAATGGAGGCTTGTTTTGGGGCTTGTTAGGATTCTATAGGATTCTTACAAGCATCTGTTCTAACGAAGACAGGGCAACAACTGAGAGGAAGTAAGTTGGGGAAGGAACTAGCAGCCACTAGCTCTCTATATAGCCACAACCCCAATTCCCGGAGCAAGGAATACAGGAGTAACACAAACAGATGAAGCCACCAACAGTATTTAGTAGGGCTGCTTTGAGGAGGTGTTCTGGAGTTCTTTTTCAGTGCCTACTTAAAATACTGAAAAAGGATGGCAAAGGAGTTTCTGCAGTCACCTTCAACAGCTATGGTAAATTTGTATTCTTGCCCAAGATTGCAGGTAGCTAGCTATACATTTAGCAAGTGCAAGTTGGTGGCCCTGTTGGAAGAGAAGGGCCAGAAGCACGAGGCCTGTGGGCATTCATGCAGGAAGGAGGGCTTGTAATTGGTTGACCAGCCAAACCCAAAGGGTGTTCGTCAATGGCTCCTATTGTTCTTAGAAGCAAATAGTAGAGTGCCATAGTGTACTGGTTCCAGTGCTGTTCAACATATTTACCAATGATGGAATAGATTTCATGCTTCCCAAATGTGTAAATAGGGGTGTGTGAAATGGCAGAAACCCATTCTGCTCTTGTTCTGAATTTCGAGTGCCCACCCATCCCCATCCTATTTTCGGGAATATTCTTATGGAAACAGAACTCTGGTTCCCTAATTACGAATCCAAATGCCCTTCCCTCCTAATCTCCTGGAATCTTCCTAAAAACAACCGGGGAAGATGGGGGACAACATAAAAACTGAACTAGTTCCTGCCATTTCGCATATTCCTAGAAAGTTCTAAGATATGGGATAGTGAAAAGAAGGGTCCTCAGGTTAATGGAGTAGTTTTTAAAGCTTTTTATGTATTTATTTTAATGGAATTTTAATTGTTTTAAATATTTGTTTTATTACTTCAATTCCATTTTAAATATTTCTTTTTGTATGTTTTTAAGGGCTTTGCTTTTTCGGTGTGAGACACTTGGGGTCTTAATTTTAAGGGAAAAAAACAGAATAAAATAAATACAGTATAATAATTGCTATTAATAATAATAATTACCCCACTTCCTGAAAGAGAATGTTTTGGATAATGATTTGTGCATATTAGTGAATCTTGTGACTATGAAGTTAATTTGGATGGCATTATAGAGGTCTACTATCTTTCCCTCTACATTTCTTATTTTATCCCCTGCTTATTATGGGCAGTAGTTGATGGCCAGTTAATTTATTTTCAAGGGGATTGGCCTTCTAGTGAGGTTTTCCTTTCTTCACAGCAACTGGGTGCCTCTTTATCTCCTTGTAACCATTATTATCTGTTCTAAGGTGGAGCATTGCTGTTGTTCCTTGGTGGCTTTTTATGAACCTGCCTGTCATGTGGATGGGGTAATGGATTCATTTTGGAATCTTTTCCCTCACTGGGATGGAATACTGCATGCCTGATATACAATCAGGCAGTGATCTAATCTGCAGGTTGTCTAGTCAGTCTCATACTCAGGCTGTTTAGATCCAGACACCTAGTACCTCTTCTTTCTTCTGATTTCTTTCCACTCACTCCTCCAGCATACAGATCAGTGAGCAATGGGTTGACTGGTCAGCAGGCAGGCTGGTCTGTTGTAAATATTATTCTGTGCCAAATTTATGTAAGCTGCGGCAGAGGTAGGACCTTTTTTTGCCCATAACTGGTGTGCATTGTGGTTGTCTCATTTACTACCTCTTCCTCCTCACACTCTGAATATGTTTTGTGCTCATTGGTATATTTTATGATCATGGAAGGAATTAGAATGAAACTTCATAAATAAAAGACATTATGAATTTATCAAATGGTCTTCTGAGATGGGGGAATAACTGTTTTTCAGAAAGCCTCTGCGGCAGATACTTGAAGGCCCCTATGGCTGTGTATGATGAAGACCTGTTGAAGAACTCCTTCTATTTAGCTATGCAGAAACGACGTCCTGATCTCTGTAGAAAAGTTGCAGAACTACATGGAATTGTAAGTATAACGTGATGACTTTTGGGAAGAATAAATTGCGCTTACTAGGATCCCCCTTATACAGGATTTGAAAAAAGCCAAGAATAGGAAGCCAAAGGATAAAATGGTGCTTACGGCCTGCATCAAGATCAGTTCTACCACACATTGCATTTCTTCCTCCACTAAGGGTCAGCCCTATCTATAGTCTAGACCAGTGTTTCTCAAAGTCTATCCTTCTAGGTGTTTGGTATGTCAGCTCCCAGAAATCCTAGCCAGCCTTTAGGAATTGTGGGAGCTGAAGTCCAAAACATCAGGAGGAGCAAAGTTTGAGAACCACTGGTCTTTACAAATTGAAGCAACTGCTTCAAGTGGCAGGTGCTGGTGGACAGCAGTGGCAGTCCTCTCCTTTTGGATGGAAGAGAGTTGTGCATTCCAAATGGACTTCCTACATCCTATAAATGCTATCCATTATCAGCACTGAAGAGGTGTTCAGGTGAGAGTTTAATCAGAATTTAAATCTCTAATGGAGATAGGATGCCCATCTGAGGCAGCACAATGTGTTAGATCAGTCCTTCCTCACCTTGTTTGTGTTCTGATCCCCATCTGGTCCCCATTTGTAACAAGGACCTTGGGCTTATTTGTATTTCAGAGTTGTCTAATTTTAGTGCTTGGTTTGTCTGTACTTTGATCTAATATTTTGTTTTTAGGATCTTACCTGGCATACGTACCTCTTGTTGGGCGAGTGGGCTTATTATCAAAAGACCCTCCTCATAAATGTACAGCAGAGTAACTTATTAGCAGCAGCGTGACCCAGCACCAGTAGCCCAACGTGATAAAAAGAACAAAAACACACAGACCAATGTTATCTCTTGCATAGGAGGTTTTCTTTGTAGTAAAATAATATGGTTACACTATTTACAATAACAAAGTTTCCACTTCCTTCTTTGCTTCCATGCTGGGCTTCTTTTTCATGCAGATAAAACAACTTCGCTCTCACAGAGCCTCCTCTCACAACGAACTTAAACAGGAGCTTCACACAGGAGCTTTTTACACACAGCAGACTTTACACATGAGGCTTTACAGACGAGGTCTTTAAACTGGGGCTTCTCACACCAGGCCTTCTCACACTTGGCCTTCTCATAGTCTAAGGCCTATCTCACACAGAGGCTTATCTCACAGACTAAGGCCTTTCTCCCACTGAAGTTTACCTCAGACTGACGGCTACTAAGATACAGGCACCCCTGTTTATATAGAACTGCAGCTTTTTGCTGATTCATTGCATTCATTTAACCCCATTCAGTGCTTGACTCATATTTTTGTAATTAAAAATACCTAGTTAATTTTTAATATTTCTGACACCTCTGACATTGTGTTCTTATTTCTTTAGATGCTTGTACCATGCAAAGGAAGTCTTTCAAGCAGCTTCATCTCAGCTTGCCAGTTTGACTCTTATGTTCTTAGAGCAGTGGAAGAAAACTTTCAGACCTTGAATGGAAAGGTACGTATTGTGTAAGAGTGGGAATCCACAGTAATTTGAGAGGGGTAGAAAGGTCTAGATATAAACATACATTTATAGCGCTTGCAAATATTGCAGGAGAGAAATACATATATATAGAGGATTCGCAAACGTTTCAGAGAGAAATGCATATGTGAAATTAGTATATGCAATTATAGATTTGTATCTAGCTCTGCATTGTCTATATAAGCATTGAAAGTTTGCCTTTTTCTATGTTGGAAGCAAGCTTGAGTATCTATGGGGAGATAGGGCAGGATACAAATAAAGTTTTTAAAATTATTACTATTATTATTATTACTATTATTATTATTAAGTTATTGTTGATATCAAATTTTCCCCTACTTTTCCACTTACAGAGCTTATTTACTGTTTTTTTCTTTGAAATGCAGTAAATATTCAAAAACATTTAATCTACTGATGCCTCAAGTAATATAATTTTATTGGTATCTATATTTATTTGGAAATTTACCAGTAGCTGCTGCATTTCCCACCCTCGGCTTATACTCGAGTCTATACGGTAACACTATTTACATGGTTCTAATCACTTTTGCCTCTTTGTACTTTCTGTTCCTTCAGGAAATTTTCATACAAGGAAACTTGATCATACCTGGGGCTGGCTTTAACCATCATTGCTCAGTGCCTATTCTCTTTGAGGAAACCTTCTACAATGAAAAGGAAGAAAGCTTTAGCATCCTCTGTATAGCTCATTCTCTAGAAAAAAATGAGAGCAAAGGTTCGTAGTGCTTTTCTCAATAGGCAGCAAAATGCTTTGGGCCAGTATTGCGTTTACCGTGCCAGCTGTTTCCAATTTGGCCAGTTTTAAGACTATTACTTTTTTGCAGCATTCAGAATTGTATTGCTTGCCAGATGTTGTTGGCCTTGAGCATGATTACTTAACCTAATGCCCACTCATACGTGCCTTATTTATTCCTCGGGTTTACTACACTGCTGCTGTTATCTCCCAGCAAAGCCAAAGTGAGTGCTGGGGGTTGCAATTCAATAACATTATAGATCGGCACAATTCACATCCTGTTACAGGCTGAGGAATGCTATTGTACTGCAATCCCCACTTATACTACTAGCATAACTAGTTGTAAAGCTTGTGGGAAGCTGCAGCCCAGTATCTGGAGTAGCACAGGTTGTTCATTCTTGCTATATACAGGGTGAGGCAGCATAACTTCTTTTAAAATGCGCCATTCAGTCGGTTGAAGACGTAGCGGAGCGCTAGTGGTCTCGTTCGAGAGGCAGGAGTATAAAGTTTTGTCCTGACACAGTTCAGTCGCCATCATGCATTGGAACAGTGAGGAGCGTGCTTTTGCCATTGAGGCCTACTTTTCGAGCGGATTTGGAGTGGCCGGCCCGCTCTCCAGATTTGGCCCCTTGTGATTTTTTTCTATGGGGTTTTTTGAAATCCCGTGTTTTTGCGAACTTTCATTTTATGGAAATACATCTTTTTTTTTTTTTTTTTTTTTTTGAAATCCTGTGTTTATGTGAACCGTCCAAGGACCCTACAAGATTTGAAGACCAACATTCAGGAAGAAATTGCCAACATAACGCCTGCTATGCTGGCAAGAGTCATGACAAACGCCAGAAATCGGTTTACTCAGTGTATGGAGAATGGGGGATCACCTACCTAATTTGATCTTCAAAACTACATAAAACAAAACTTTAGGTATGCGCCTACATTATAATTTTTTTTTATTCATACAATGGGTTTTTATTAAGTTTTGAAAAAAGGAAGTTATGCTGCCTCACCCTGTATTAGGAGTAGGCAGCCTATCTACTTTGAACAGTGTGGAAAACTCCTTATGAAGCAGTAGGAATGTTGACTGCATTAGCAGAGTGACTTGGAACAACCTCATTTCAGGGCATGATTGCTAGAAGAAGCAACTTTTCAGAATGCAAGAAAATTTAGCAATAGGGGAATCGTCGTTTCTTCCCAACTCCTTTTTGTGTGTGTGTGTATTTTGCTTTCATGACTGCAATATGAAGTGCTGCAAATTCTAGAAGTATATTTCTGAATACTAACCAACCACCTTTCTCTATTTCAGAGCAATCTTCAGCACCATCAAATTCTTACTCCCTGAGAAACATTGAAGACGTGAGAGAGTTCTTGGGAAGGCACACTGAAAAATTTGATAAAGCAATTACATCATTTCACAGGACTTTCAAGGAGCATGACAGGAAAATCCTTCGACATTATATAGTTAGTATCTTCGCTTCCAACAGGCCTGAATCTTGTATCATTGCTCAGTTGTAAATGCAAAGTGCCATCAAAACAGAGGCATTTTTTCATCTCTGGATAGGAATGTCTCTTTTAATATTCCAGCTGTGCCATTGGTGTGTCATTTAAAATATGTGTGGCCTGCTTTAGATATACGGGTGGGGTTTTTGGGGTTTTTTTTTTGGTCAAACTTCCAGTAAGAGCTCATTTAAAATGAAGTTAATTGGTTTTAAAATGTCATGTCTCTAAACCAGTGGTCCTCAACCTTCCTAATGCCATGACCCCTTAATACAGTTCCTCATGGTTGGGTGACCCCCAACCATAAAATTATTTTCGTTGCTTCTTCATAACTAATTTTGCTACTCTTATGAATCATAATGTAAATATTTGATATGCAGGATGTATTTTCACTGAACCAGGTTTGACACGGATACCTGATATGCCCAAATTTGAATACTGGTGGGGTTGGGGGAGGGATTGATTTTGTAATTTGGGAGTTGTAGTGCTGGGATTTATAATTCGTTTACAATCAAAGAACATTCTGAACTCCACCAACAATGGAATTAAACCAAACTTGGCACACAGAACTCCCATGACCAACAGAAAATATTGGAAGTTTTTGGTGGGCATTGACCTTGAGTTTTGGAGTTGTAGTTTACCTACATCCAGAGAACACTGTGGACTGAAATAATGATGGATCTGGACCAAACTTGGCATTAAATACTCAATATGCAAAACATAAACACTGGTGGCGTTTGGGGAAAATAGATCTTGACATTTGGGAGTTGTAGTTGCTGGGATTTATAGTTCATCTACAATCAAAGAGCATTCTGAACCCCCCCCCCCCATGATAGAAATGGGCCAACGTTCGCACACACATTCCCCATGACCAACAGAAAATACAGTGATTTAGGAGAGATGTAGTTCATCTACCTCCAGAGAGCACTGTGAACCCAAATGACTATGGATCTGGACCAAATTTGGCACAAATGCGTGATACGCCCAAATTTGTATACTGGTGGGGCCGGGGWGGATTGATTTTGTCATTTGGAAGTTGCTGTTGCTGCCAAAGGGMTTCCTAAGACAATCGGAAATATGTGTTTTGTTATGGATTTTCGTGACCCCTCTGACACCCCCTCACAACACCCCCCATGGGTCKCGACCCCCGGGTTGACAAACGCTACTCTAAACTGTTTCCCAGTGGTGCAAAATCTAGAACAATTTTTGTACAGTAATCAATCCCTTCTCAAAATTGTTATACATATTTAATTTTGTTACACCTTTGTGTGTTCAAGAATAATTAGTGTTCTTCCRCGCTCCATTTCTTTCCTTCTGAGGCATTTTGATACTTTCTCTTTCTAATCCTTTTTTTTTTTGTCYTCAGGATTCTGTGAATGCACTCTACACCAAATGCATCCAGCAGTTACTGAGAGATTCCCATCTTGTGAGTACATAATGAGTTTTCTAAAGGGATAGCCATGTCAGTCTATTGCAGTTTAAAGCCACAAAGAATCACATGTCAGATGTATAGTATGAGTTGTGACTATTGCTTATTTCCTAAGAAGCCTGGAGCATAATTTTAGAGAGTCGGGGGTGTGTGTATGCATGTATGCAGTTGGGGTGGGAGGTTCACATTGCAGTCAGAGTACATTTAGATGACAGTGAAAATTACATCCTTGACATTGTACATTAATGTAGTGCTTGAAAACGATGTTGTCTGTCTTCCTGGCAACAGTATATCTTAAATCTGTGTTTTCTTCCTTCTGATAAATAGAGAATGCTTGCAAAGCAGGAATCACAAATGAATCTGATGAAACAGGCTGTGGAAGTAAGTACTTGGAGCCTATTGGGAATTTTGTAGCTACCATATATACTCGAGTATAAGCCGAAGCACCTAATTTTACCACAAAAACTGGAAAAACATATTGACTCAAGTATATATTATATTATATATTATTATATATATTCAGCTTATACTTCAGCAAGTATAAGCTGAAGGTGAGAAATGCAGCAGCTATCGGTAGATTTCAAAATAAAAATAGATACTAATAAAATTACATTAATTGAGGCATCAGTAGGTTAACTATTTTTGAATATTTACATAAAACTGTAATTTAAGATAAGACAGTCCAACTTTGATTAAACCATTATTCTAACCTTCTTCAATGTAAATGTGCTTATATATCCTTCCAATAATAATAGAGTAAAATAATAAATGTAATAAAATAATAATAATAATGGAATAAAATAATGGAAATGTTATAATAACAATAATACAGTAAAATAATACATGTAAAATAATAAGAGTAAAATAATAAACGTAATAAAAATAATAAAGTAAAATAATGGAAAAATAATAATAATAATAATAATAATAAATAGATTAAAGTGATACATGTAATAATAATAATAATAACAACAGAGTAAAATATTAAATAACTTTGACTGGAGTATAAGCCGAGGGGGCTTTTACAGTCTTAAAAAAGGGCTGAAAAACTCAGCTTATACTCGAGTATACATGGTATGAAGAGATGTACTTCAATAAAACGTAGAATGTGTCACTATATAGTTATACAGTAGCTTTAGCCATAAATGTGTTGTAGAGAGAACCATGTTGAGAAAGCTTACAGAAATAATGATGGCTTCAGCATGACCCTAAAAATGAGAATTGTCAGAGAATATGTAATTTTTTAAACAAAGGAGAATTATTGATGGGAGTGGGGATATGCCATGCTAAATGTGCTTTCTTGAAGGGCCACAAAATATTTGGCGTCTCCAGGAAGTTACCCAGGGGATTATAGGAATTAAAGGGGTTTGTATTGGTCTATAGGGGATAAAGAAATAAAACCATTTTCTTTGTGTATGTTTCTCTGTAGATGTACATTCACCATGCTCTTTATGACGTGATCTTTAAATATGTGGGAACTATTGAGGCAAGTGAGGTAAGTATTTTCTTCAGTTTAATATTGAGTATTTCCCACTTCTCTTTTTTCTGATGTGCTTAACTTTCCTTCCCTCTTCTGGTGTTTCCAAGGTTACCTGGGGAATTTCATGGCTCAGTAGGAATAAAGCTGGATCTCCAAGTCTAAACCAAAGACTATAACCATCAAACTTACTAGAATACTGTGTAGGGTTACTGGCCAAGGGTAAAGATGCATGGAATTGTTTTCCTTCCATAGCTCTTTGGTATACTTAGGCTGATTTCAGGTTGGGATAGTCACAAGCATATATATTCCTTATGTTTTATAGATAAGGATTTAATTTATAATATTATAAAGATTTATATATAAGAATATCATTTATAATATTATAATGTAATGCAATATAATACTACTACTAATAATATGATATTATAATTATATATTTATATTACCTGTAATATTATAATATAATGGTGTAGTACAATATAGTAATATTTAATACTGATATTGTACTATGTTAATAATATAATATATTGTGTGTGTGTATGTGTGTGTGTCTATCTATCTATCTATCTATCTATCTATCTATCTATCTATATGTCTTGTAAGCCGCTCTGAGTCTCTGAGTCTGTCTCCTGTGCTATTCTAATAATATGTTATAATATAATATATAATATATTGTGTATACATATAATATTTATATTGTAATGTAATGCAATATAATACTACTAATAATAATATGATATTATAATTATATATTTATATTACATGTAGTATTACTAATAATATTACAGTATAATTGATATAGTGCAATATAGCAATATTTAAAACTTATATTGTACTATGTTAATAATATTGTGTGTGTGTGTATATATATATATCTATATATATATCTATATATATAAATCTGTTAGGTTGGTTCAACCGGACAGCAAAACTCCACAACCCCCAACGAAACTTAACCAAAATTCCCATGCCCATAACACAACCCACAAGGTACAAACATATCTACTCAAAATGAAAAACAACACAACAACACACTCACAAAACGGCAAAACAACAAAACTCCACAACCCCCCCAACGAAACTTAACCAAAATTCCCATGCCCATAACACAACCCACAAGGTACAAACATATCTACTCAAAATGAAAAACAACACAACAACACACTCACAAAACGGCAAAACAACAAAACTCAAAAATCCCCCAACGAAACTTAACCAAAATTCCCATGCCCATAACACAACCCACAAGGTACAAACATATCTACTCAAAATGAAAAACAACACAACAACACACTCACAAAGACGCAAGTTCCTTGGCGCGCGCACACAGCCTTCCGGCCAACGTTCCCTCTGCGGAAGCCATGCCCACTCCAAGCCCCGCCGCGCTGCTTCCCGCACACACACACACCCTGCCGCACGCACACACACAACCCCACGCTCCATCACTCCCCCCGCCGCTGCACACACACACGCAACCCCACGCTCCATCACTCCCCCCGCCGCCGCACACACACAACCCCAGGCTCCATCACTCCCCCCGCCGCCGCACACACACACGCAACCCCACGCTCCATCACCCCCCTGCCGCCACACACGCAACCCCACTCCCCCCGCCGCCGCACACACACACAACCCCACGCTCCATCACTCCCCCCGCCGCCGCACACACACACGCAACCCCACTCCCCCCGCCGCCGCACACACACACGCAACCCCACTCCCCCCGCCGCCCCACACACTCCATCACTCCCCCCGCCGCCGCACACACACACGCAACCCCACTCCCCCGCCGCCGCACACACACACGCAACCCCACACTCCATCACTTCCCCCGCTGCCGCACGCACACACGCAACCCCACTCCCCCCACCGCCGCACACACACACGCAACCCCACACTCCATCACTCCCCCCGCCGCCGCACACACACACGCAACCCCACTCCCCCCGCCACCGCACACACACACGCAACCCCACACTCCATCACTTCCCCCCGCTGCCGCACGCACACACGCAACCCCACTCCCCCCGCCGCCGCACACACACACGCAACCCCACGCTCCATCACTCCCCCGCCGCCGCACACACACACGCAACCCCACGCTCCATCACTCCCTCGCCGCCGCACACACACACGCAACCCCACGCTCCATCACTCCCCCCCCCCCCCCCCACCCCCCCCCCCCCCCCCCCCCGCCGCCGCACACACACACGCAACCCCAGGCTCCATCATTCCCCCCGCCGCTGCACACACATAATAGTCCAGATATCTACCTCAACTTTGATAAGTTTTACTATAGGCCACAGCAACGCGTGGCAGAGCACAGCTAGTATATATATATACCTTGTAAGACGGACTGAGTCCCCTTCGGGGTGAGAAGGGCGGCATATAAATGTCGTAAATAAATAAATAAATTCGGGGTGAGAAGGGCAGCATATAAATGTCGTAAATAAATAAATATTTGCAGATGCACATTTTGAGGCACTGCATGGGTTGGTATTTTTCTCTACTGCACACTGCCTAGATCAGCATTTCTCAGCATGGGGGTTGGGATCCCTATGGGGGTCATGAGGGGATCAGAGGAGTCACCAAAGACCATCAGAAAACACAGTATTCTGTTCGTCATAGGGGTTCTGTGTAGGATGTTTGGCCCAATTCTGTTGTTAGTGGGGTTCAGAATGCTCTTTGATTGTAGTTGAACTACAAATCCCAGCAACTACAGCTCCCAAATGCAACTATTTCCCTAAACTCCACCAATGTTCAAATTTGGGCATATTGAATATTCATGCCAAGTGTGGTCCAGATCCATAATTGTTTGAGTCCACAGTACTCTCTGGATGTAGGTGAACTACAACTCCAAAACTCAAGGTCAATGCCCACCAAAGCCTTCCAATATTTTGTGTTGGTCATGGGAGTTCTGTTTGCCAAGTTTGGTTCAATTCCACCATTGGAGAAGTTCAGAATGCTCTTTGATTGTAGGTGAACTATAAATCCTAGCGACTGCAACTCCCAAATGACAAAATCACACCCCCTAACGTTACCTGTATTCAAATGTGGGTGTATCGGGTATTTGTGCCAAAGTTGGTCCAGTGAATGAAAATACATCCTGCATATCAGATATTTACATTATGATTCATAACAGTTACAGTTATGAAGTAGCAATGAAAATAATGTTGTGTTTGAGGGTCACCACAACATGAGGAAATATATTAAGGGGTCGCAGCATTAGGAAGACTGAGAACCACTGGCCTAGAGCCTCTCTCTGGGTTTACTTTAAAGCCCAGTAGCCAACTCCCAAAGTCATTCTTGGCCAGAAGAAGTCATCCATTAATGGGTTAATTCCTGTTGCTGCCAAGGCTTTGACAAAATGTCACATTACTAAAAATGAACTTCTATTGATCCTCATCTCCTGCTTTCTCTTCTTCATCTTACTTCACCCAGGAAAGGTCATAGATCTGGCCTTGTTTCTTCAATTTCTTCAATCTATTTTCCTTAACCTTTTGCTCTCTGCAGGAGTTGTGTGTTGATTTCTTTCTCCTTTCCTGTTGTTTTTCTCTTCCTTTTGAACATCAGCTTGAGACAAGATTTGGAAAATTAAAGTCAGATCCATATCATTTAGCTCCCTTTGTCCTCCAGCAGGCATGGGCCAACTCTGGCTGTTAGGAATTGTGGGAGTTGAAGTCCAAAACATCTGGAGGGAGGGCTGAAGTTGGGCCAAGCCTGTTCTACAGTGTAATATTTCTTCAGCTACAACTTCTTCCCAGTATTTAAAAATGGCTTTCTTGTATTTGCTGACTAGGATGCAGCTTTCAACAAAGTTACGCGAAGTCTGCAAGACCTGCAGCAGAAAGATCTGGGTATCAAGCCCGAATTCAGGTGTGTTGCTTTAAGAGACCCCAGCGTCCACCTCAAGTTTGGTTTTGATTACAGCTATATTCTGGAAATATGAGAGGGAAAATCCAGCAAAGTAATTGCAGATGTTTCTTGGGCCCCTTCTACACTGCTATATAAAATCCAGATGATCTGCTTTGAACTGGGTTATATGGCAGTGTAGAAGGGGCCTCAGAGCAGCTCTACCTCCCAACCATTTCTGGATTTTGTTGCATGGTGTAATCTGTTATGATGAATGCTCCTTCCCAAGAACAAATATAGATGGAATATTACCTGATGTTAGGAAAAAACTGTACTTACTTACTTAAGCGATCTCTTGTAGTCTGAGGATTATGGCCCTCCAAGTGTAGTGTCTTGGTGGTGGATACGTAGGTGACTGAGGAGACCTATTCTTGATCTGCGTGTTCTTCTGCAGTGAGGGCATCAGTTTCTGGGTGTAAGGTGGTCCTGGTGAGGGTTGGCTTGATGCGCCTTCTTCCTCTTGGCACATTTCTCCCTTTCACCCTCAAATCATGCCTCTTCGAATTCCACAGCACTGCTGGTCACAGCTGACCTCCAGTTAGAGTGCTCAAGGGCCAGGGCTTCCAAGTTATCGGTGTCTATGCCACAATGTTTAAGGTTGGCTTTAAGCCAATCTTTAAATCCCTTTTCCTGCCCACCAACATTAATTTTTGCATTCTTGAGTTGGGAGTAGAGTAACTGCTCAGTGGAGTTGATGGCGTAGGAACATCGCTTCAATGCTGGTGGTCTTTGCTTCTTCCAGCACACTGACATTTGTCCACCTGTCTTCTCAAGAAATTTGCAGGATTTTTGGAGGCAGTGCAGATGGAATCATTCCAGGAGTTGAGTGTGACATCTGTAGACAGTCCACGTTTCACAGGCATATAATAGGGTTGGTAGAACAATAGCTTTATAAACAAGCACCTTGGTCTCCCTATGGATGTCCTGATCCTCAAACACTCTTTGTTTCATTTGGAAATATGCGGCACTCGCAGAGCTCAGGCGGTGTTGTATTTCAGTGTCAGTGTTGAATTGTGGAGAGGTGGCTGCCAAGGGAGCGGAAATGGTCAACATTTTCTAATGTTACACCATGAAGCTGTATTTCTGGCATTGCAGAGGGATTGGCTGGTGCCTGCTGGAAGAGCACTTTGGTTTTCTTGATGTTCAGTGAGAGGTCGAGATTCTTGTATGCTTTTGCAAAGGTGTTTAGAGTGACTTGTAGGTCTTCTTCTGAATGTACACAGACTATGTTATCATCAGCATAATGGAATTCTATAACATGTTATTGAGACCTTGGTTTTGGCTTTCAGTCTGCTGAGGTTAAATAGCTTGCCTGGTGTTAAAAAAAACTATAGAAGGGGAAGGAAGATTTTAAAGTCCACATTTATTCTGGTCGATTGAAAATGAGCAACGTTTTTGCATCACATGGTCTGACTTTCACTTCGGGAAGAATCTCAAGCCCTGTAGTCAGCATTGGGCATGAGGTGGATTCATATGGGCACTTCCTCACCAGACTTAGAAAGCACAATTCGATGCTGTGTCTTTTGTCTTAGGAGAACACTGCTGAGCAGTAGCTTCCTGGCTACCAAAGCACAGCTCAAGAAGGAATTTAGTTTCTCTGGTGTGATTCTGTGGTCAGTTTCCAGCAGAAATTGACCATAGTCATGCTGGATGACCTAGAAATATGCTTTAAAAAATCCCTTCATGTTCTTTATTTGCATTTTTTTTTTTTACTTTCATGGGGGTCATGTGCCCTTCACCCCAGCAGATGTGAAGGCCTGAGTGTACAATGCCTTGGGTGTTGAGTTTTTAATACTTGTACAATTTCAGTCTGTTTTGGATTAATATTTTCTTCCTTTTGAAACAACCTATCCAGTTTCAACATACCGCGTGCAAAGCGTGAACTGAGCCAGCTGAATAAGTGCACCTCCCCACAACAGAAGCTCCTCTGTCTCCGTAAAGTGGTGCAAATTATAATGCAGTCTCCAAGTCAAAGAGGTATGTAGCCATGGCAATGAAATAATTATATTCATCTCTACTTTATAAAGCACTCTTCACACACTTTCAAAATAAATGTGCCTTTGTATTTGAAATGTATGTGTTTCCAAAATGGAAAACCTTGTCATTCTTTTTTTATTATAATTTAGAAAAGGCAAGGTTACTTCTGAATTGAAGCATGTTAAATATTCAATGATGGTGTATACAAAAAAAATTCTCCAAGTTTGTATCTTTCAGATATTTTAGACTACAACTCTCAGCATCCTTGTTTAGGGTTAATGGATATTGTAGTCAGGACATCTGGAGGGTACTCTGGTTAGGGAAGACTACTCTGGCTCACAAATGGATGACTCTGTTGTGAGCACCTAAACTGTCAGAGTAGTGAGTGTTGCAAATAGCAACCTTGCCAAGCCTTTCACTATTTATTTGTTAATGTATATATTTGCTAACCTGTATTCTATGTGTATGTTGATTTGCCAGTTTGACTTACCTCTTTGGTGTGGGAGGGGTTATAGACATGTGATTGTACTCAGTACTCCATTTTGTATTCAGTTCTGCTTACCACCTCATTGGAGGTGGATGAGTCTGCTGAACACCTCATTGGAGGTGGATGTGTTTGCTTCCCACCTCAGCGGAGGTGGATGCATGTTGCTGTTTGGACTTCAATAGAGAAGTATGTTTTAGATACTTCAATAGAGAAGTATGACTTATGGACTTCAGTGAGTACAACTATACTCTAAAGCAGGGGTCCTCAAACTTTTTAAACAGAGAGCCAGGTTACAGTCCCTCAAACTGTTGGAGGGCCGGATTATAATTTGGAAAAAAAATGAATGAATTCCTATGCACACTGCACATATCTTATTTGTAGTGCAAAAAACACTTAAAACAATATAATAATTAAAATGAAGAATAATTAAAACAAATATAAACATATTAGTATTTCAATGGGGAGTGTGGGCCTGCTTTTGGCTGATGAGATAGGGTTGTTGTTGTTGTTGTTGTTGTTGTTGTGTGCTTTCAAGTCATTCCAGACTTAGGTTGAACCTGAGTGAGGGCCGGGTAAATGACCCTGGAGGGCTGTATTCGGCCCTCGGGCCTTAGTTTGAGGACCCCTGCTTTAAAGTCTATGGACTATTGATAAGCAATGATAATATGTGTGTACTCAACACAGAGAGAAATCTACATCCTATCTACAACTGAACTTTATTAAGTTAGGTGTCTGTATGTTGAATAAATACATGATGTTTTATGAGTAAACAAGATACAACATTTTTCAAATAAGACTTTGGTTTTTTAATCTCTGAGTATATTTTAACTAAGAGGTTTTAAGGGAGTGTATATCTTTTGGGCAACTTGAAAGTAACAATCATCTTCTGCTAACCAAATATATATTTGCAGTGGCATGTCTTTATCCTTGGCAGTTTAAACCTATGGTTCTTCAGTCTAACACCTGAGTTACCTGTGTGGCATTACATGAATACTTATGAATATCACTTGTTTTAAGAATTGACTTCTAACCAAGTCATGCTTTTCTTGATTAGTGGTTTTCAAAAGGCGGTCTCCATATGTTCATGAAGATTCATATTTGCCAAACGGATGTGACATCATTTCTACCTTTTCAATAAAGCTATGGTGCACTTATTTCCAATAGGTTATGAAATTTCCAATAGTGAGAACTCCAAGGGAACTCCCTGAGCTTATCTTCTTTTGCTGTATATTAGTTGGTTGAAATGATAGATATTTGGTTGGTCTATTGGTTGAAATGATAGATATTTTCATGTGGGGACATTTACATTTGGGCCCTCATATTGTCTTAGGCAACACTGTCCCGAATCTCCTCCTCCAGTTTGTTTGCTAATTAGGATTAATGGAAACTGCAATGCATACCTCGAGGCTTATGTGTTCTTAATCCCAGAGTGTGTTACCTGGTGCTCTTCTGAAAAGGGTCTGTGGCTTTCTTTCCACTTCCATACAGAACGTCCTGCCCAGATGTTCTTGCCATTCCGTGTGTTATGCATTTTCTCTTTTTTGAAGCTCCTGGCTGCTCAGGAAGGGGAGGGGGAAGTAGCATGTTTAGCGTGTCAAAATTTCTCTAACTAGTCACGTTTGCTCTCATTCAAAGCATTAGACGTTGAATTTTTCCGTATCTCGTTTTTCCTGCCCCTTTCAGTGAACATAGAGACCATGTGTGCAGATGACCTCCTTTCTGTCTTGCTTTACCTCCTCGTGAAGACAGAGATTCCAAATTGGTATGTAGTAAATTCTGTTAACTTCAAAGAATTCAGGTTTTTTATGTGTTTTGGGGTTTTAAAATTATTTTTATTGATTTTTTGAAAGTAAAATTAAACTCCGATAAACTGGAGTATGAGCAAAGTTTTATGTGTTGGTTTTAAATACCCCATTTGATTGACTCTAACATGCACTTTGTTCCTGTTTTAGGAGTCCAAAACTGGGCTGGGCCTTACAATTGATGTCATCTTGGATTCATGGGTTTTAGGGGCCCCTAAAATAGGAAATAAGGTCCACTTACATTAGGGAGGAGAGGATATGGAGAAAGAGCCTCAGCCTCAAATGGCTCCGGTTTTGTTTGATTTTTAAAAAACTTGCTTACCTCTGAGAGAGGAGAAGGAACTGTCAGGCCCATCTCCAAAGCCTGAGGGTCTCTGGTCCAGTATTAAAAACTAAAACATGCAATATTGCGCTATTATTAAAAAGTGTCGTTTGCTGTGTTGCTCTGGCAACATCACTATAAAATCTTTGCATGGTTCATAATTGGTAAGATGTATCCCAGGCTAAAAGAATCCATGCTAGCATTATTATTACTACCCATATGAAGCATATTTACGTGCTTGCCTTCCTTCCCTTGCCTTGGGTAACATTTTTTTTAGTCCATTAGACTGAAAAACATTTAGGGTGTTAACATCTGTTGCTAAATTAGACCTTGGCCATTCCTTACCCTTTTATAATGCAAATGTAAAACGAGAAAATGCAAATGCGTGCCGCAGAAATGTTGTATTAGCCGAGTGCCATTTCCTGGGATTATGTGCATTTAACAAAATGTGCTTATGGCCTTGGACGTCACTTCTAACGTCGTGCTGATTTTTAATCCATGACTCTTGGTTTTGCACGTGTTAGAGGCCTTTTTGTAAATGTGTGGTTATTTGAAGCAAACTGATGCGCAGCTCACCTTATGGTGTGTGGCTGTAACAAGGCTTTGTTCTGCTTGTCTCTTGGTGCAGTTTTTGAGGATGAAGAAACAATTTGTTAAACATTTTACTTGTTAAGAACCCGATTCATTAGTGTTTTCCAACTTTTTAATTGTTTTACCTGTAAAATGCTATGTTATAAGTACCGTATATACTCGAGTATAAGCCGAGGTACCTAATTTTACCACAAAAAAATGGGAAAATGTATTGACTCGAGTATAAGCTGATAGTGGGAAATGCAGCAGCTACTGGTAATTTTCAAAATAAAAATACATACCAAGAAAATTACATTAATTGAGGCATTAGTAGGATAAATGTTTTCGAATATTTACATAAAACTATAATTTAAGATAAGACTGTCCAACTCTGATTAAACCATTATTTTAACCTTCTTCAATGTAAATGTGCTTACATATCCTTCCAATAATAATAAAGAGAGCAAAATAATAAATGTGATAAAAATAATTGAGTAAAATAATGTAAATGTCATAATAATAATAATAACAATAAATAGAATACAATAATAAATGTAATCAAAACAGTAATATATAGAGTAAAATAATAAATGTAATAAAATAATAATAGAGTAAAATAATGTAAATGTAATAATAGTATAAGAAAATAAATGTAACAGAGTAAAATAATAAATAACCTTGACTCGAGTATAAGCTGAAGGGATCTTTTTCAGCCTAAAAAAGGTACTGAAAAACTAGGTTTATATTAAAGTATATACAGTAAGTACGAATCAACATTTCTTATTTGTTACTGGCTGTTTCTAATATTTTTACATTTGTTTACTTAATGATTTGTGAAATGAATGCATTTTGTGTTTTTAAAAACTTTTTAATATTAAGGATCTAACTTCTTTGCAGTTTTTTAAACCGTAGAACCATTTTTGAGCATTTAGAGGATAATACATTATTATTAGGAGTGCCTGGTGTTGCAGTGGGTTAAACTGCTGAGCTGCTGAACTTGCTGACTGAATAGGTTGGCGGTTCAAATCCGAGGAGCAAGGCAAGCTCCCACTGTTAGCCCCCGCTTCTGCCAACCTAGCAGTTTGAAAACATGCAAATATGAGTAGATCAATAGGTACTGTTCTGACAGGAGGTAACGGTGCTCCAGGTAGCCACATGATGTAAGAGGCGTCCACAAATAATGCTGGCTCTTCAGCTTAGAAACGGAGATGAACACCACCCCCCAGAGTCGGACATGACTAGATTTAATGTCAGGGGAAATCGTTAATTTTACCTTTACCTACATTAATAGCATGGAGATAGATCATAGCCTAAACCACAGTTAAATTATTTTAATCCCTATTATGGAAAAGCCCTTCAGCCTTTATTCTCCTACACAATATGGACAACACTGTCAAAGTTATCCAGGAGAATTGTAATTCTCGAACTTTACTGATAGCTCTGAATAGGTAGTCTGTGTTATGTAATTCACACTGGGGAGTATGGCAGCTGAGAAGGGTAGAGATACATCAACTCCAAGGTCAAAAATTGTGATCTTAGGGAAATCACATTTTAGGATTGCAGCTCCCATAATCTAGCTGGCATGCTCTCTGGTCATATTGATGAGGAAGTTCTAGGAATTGTAGTTAAATAATATATGAATGTCTCCAACCCATTTTGGGACGGGAAGTCACCAAATTGGGGGGAGGAGAGGGCATAACCAGATACAAATGTTGTATAGCTATTAGGAAGTATTGTATTGGTTCATGTATATATTTATGAATATGTAAATTAAAAATAAAACATAGTAAACTGGCCAAAGAAAAAGTTACAAACTTTTCTATCTCTTTTTCCTCCCCCTGGCATTGTGTTTTTTCTGAAGTTGTATCTTACACTATTTTCTTTCCCTTGTCTAGGATGGCAAACCTGAGTTACATCAAAAACTTCAGGTTTTGCAGCTCAGCAAAGGATGAGCTAGGATACTGTTTGACCTCCGTTGAGGCTGCAGTGGAATACATCCGACAAGGAAACCTCTCGGACAGGCCAACGGTAAGCCACTTTGCTGGGGATTTTAGAATCCCAATCTGAAGATTCCTCCGAGAGCTTGCCAGTTATGCGGTAGTTCACTGATGCTGCAATAGCAAGCTTGTTAGTATACATTGTAGCATTTAGCCTGGGTACACTGCTTAAATGTCTCCATAGCAAAAGCCTTCGGCTGTATTTACTGTTTCTTTGAATAGTAAAAGTTCCAAATGGCAAAAGAGAGTTAAAGAGCATAATCTGCGGGAAGGGTGTGGATCAGGCATGGGCAAAGTTTGGCCCTCCCTTCACGTGTTTTGGATTGTACCTCCCACAGTTCCTAACAGCTGTTAGGAATGGTGGGAGTTGGAAGTCCTAAACACCTAGAGCAGGAATCCTCAAAATTTTTAAACAGAGGGCCAGGTCACAGTCCCTTAAATTGTTTGAGGGCCGGATTATAATAAAAAAAACAAAAACATGAATGAATTCCTATGAACGCTGCACATATCTTATTTGTAGTTCAAAAACACTTAAAAAAACAATACAATAATTAAAATGAAGAACAATTTTAACAAATATAAACTTATTAGTATTTCAATTGGAAGTGTGGGCCTGCTTCTGTCTGATGAGATAGGATTGTTGTTGTGTGCTTTCAAGTCATTTCAGACAGGTTGATCCTGAATGAGGGCCGGGTAAATGACCTTGGAGGGCCGTATCCGGCCCCCGGGCCTTAGTTTGAGGACCCCTGACCTAGAGGGTCGAACTTTGCCCATGCCTGATGTAAATGTAGATATCTGACTACCCTCTAGCAGGTGTGCTGCTTAAATCCCATATAAATATGCTGTCATATTTAGACTAGATGATACCCCAAAATATAGAAGTTGTTGGTATACGAGTCTTTTCTTTTAAATGAAAAACTATCGTGACATTTCAGCTTCTTGGGTTAGGTGAGGAAACATGTGCCCCTTCGAAACTTGTATAGAAATATTCAGAAGCCTTCGTTAGCAAAGCCAACAGTAAGGGATCATGGAAGTTTCACAACTTTAAAAATATACATGATTCCTTTGTTTGTTATAAGAGAAATTCCAGTGCTTATAAGTTAAACACAGATCCACATTTTGGACTTGACAGTAGGTTGTAGATCCCTAAAAGCCTTTATAAGTTAAGAAGCACTGTCACATTTCAGTACAGTAGAGTCTCGCTTATCTGACATAAATGGGCCGGCAGAATGTCAAATAAACGAAAATATCAGTCTCTCCTACTGTTACCTGTCCGACGCGGCACTAGGCACCTAGAATACTCACAACAGGGACTCAAAGGGTTGAGGGAAGGAGGGAGGACACTTCCGCTTCCAGTCTTGCCTCTTTTCTCCCTTTCCTCTCTCCTCCTCCTCCTTGTCTTGCCTTTTTCACTTATTGGAAATGGAGAAGGAGTTGGGGAGCGCTCCATGAATTGAAGGGGAAATGCTGAATGAAAAGGGGAATGTTGGATAAAATGGAATGTCAGATAAGCGAAAGTCAGAAAAACAAGACACTACTGTAATTTCACATTTCTGTTGGTAACGTGGTGTCATCTTGTAGAAGGCATTGAAGGTAGAACTTCAATAAGTGACTTATTTGGACCACTGTTCCCAGGCCCACAAGACATCATGGCTACGGGCCCTGCTTTCTTGGAGATTCTAGGAGTTACAAGTCCAGAAAAGTTATTTATTATTAAAGTGATTTGTATCTTATAAATACAGGCCCCCTGGTGGTGCAGCGGGTTAAACCGCTGAGCTGCTGAACTTGCTGACTGAAAGGTTGATAGTTTGAATCCAGGGAGCGGGGTGAGCCCCCGCTGTAAGGCCCAGCTTCTGCCAACCTAGCAGTTTGAAAACATGCAAATGTGAGTAGATCAATCAACACCACTTCTGTGGGAAAGTAACAGTGTTCCAAGCGGTCATGTTGGCTACATGACCTTGGAGGTGTCTATGGACAACGCCGGCTCTTCAACTTAGAAATGGCGATGAGCACACACACACACCCAGAGTCAGACACTTAATGTCAGGGGAAACCTTTTCCTTTACAAGTGTTCCATTGAAGGTGCAGGACTCTTGTGTGTGTACATCAGTAGAGGGTTCCTTGCTTTGTGTGGATGAAGGAATGCATGAATGTCTTTCTTCATAGAACCTAAACAGAATAGACCTTGTGAACGAAAAGGACTTATATCTGAATTGACCCTAGGAACTTCTGAGTATGTGGCAAAATTGAGGAAATGGTAACTGGTTTTGGGCCTATTTCCACCCAGACACTAACTTGATTTCCCCACAAAAAAGTCCATATTTAAAATCTGAAAGGCAAGTGGTTGTTCCTGAAGCTGCCAGACATGGAAGCTTCTGAGGAGAATAGATGACAGTTTTCTGAGAAAAATAGATGACAGTTTTCCTTGCTCTCTGTCTCAGGTATAGGGGCCTCTGAGGCATCCAATGCCCAAGACATTAATTTGTTGTTGTTTAAACAATTATTGGTTTATTGACTTGAAATGGCTTGTCCAAGGCTGGATCTCACTGAGACCAACTGCAGACACGTCTTGCTTCCAAGATTCCCTGGTGTTTTATGATCTAAAATGGCTCCCTTTCCTCAGGCAAAGGGGCAAACAAAATGACAGGCACAAACCGCGAATGCTTAAACTCCAACCTCATAAAACTAACATAAAATTGTCTACTCTCAAGTTGTGGGTGAGTCGGCTTAACAAAAGAAACTGTAACTTGTAGAATCCAGCCCAATCATGATTAAACAGGAGTTGCCCTCTCCAGGAACTGGGATACAAGACCACTATGAGTCTCCTTTGAAAAGAAAAGGCTTGTTTTCTGAATTAGCCTTTCCCCTAGTCTGCCTAGACCAGGTCGCGAGATCTAAAATCAGGGCCGCAAGATATGCAGATAATAACACCCCCCAACCAAAAACATTTTTTCTTGGTGCCTTCATTTTTAGGCCTGTTCCTGGGATTATTTGGAAGGCTGATTCAGAAAATTGCATTGGGTAGACCACATCAGCTCTAGATTATTAAATACGGTTTTCTGTGGGTGAGCAGATGGCGACTACTGGATAGCATATGTTCTATATCAGAGACTAGAGCTGATGTGATCTATCCAATGCAATCAAAAACTGATTCATAAACTTTTTGGTACTATTGTTGGAGAGTGATCCCTGGTCAAAGTGGTCCCTGGTAAAAGTGGTTGGGCTGTAAGACCCAAAATCAGATCTGTGAGAGATGCAGATAATAACACAGCCCAACCAAAAAAAAATTGTGTCTTGCTTTTAGGTTTGTTCCTGGGATTATTTGGGGTGTTGATTCAGAAATTTGCATTGGGTAGACCACATCAGCTCTAGATTATTAAATATGTATTTTTGTGGGTGAGCAGATGGCATCTACTGGATGGCATATGTTCTGTATCAGGACTCCAAATAACCAAACCTATCTAAAGTTGACCAAAAAATGATTTGTAACCCTTTTGGTGCTTATGTTGGAGAGTGGTTCCTGGTCAAAGTGGTCCCTGGTAAAAAAAAAAAAAAAAAGTTGGGAACAACTGGACTCTGACAGTGTTAGCTGGGCACTCTTGGAGTGATAGCCTCAGTTTTTTCAAGTTTTGATTAATGTAAATGTTTGTGTGCGAGAGAGAATGAGGGAGTGAACAACTCCTGGAAACATTCTCTAGGCTGTAGAGTTTTCTCAGACTTGATGACAAGAAACACTTTGGAGTTTTTACCCTTCCAAAACTAGGTACTTCCAATCTGACCCGGAGACTGAACGATGGGAAAAAAGTACGACAATGAAATCTGCACCTGATCCAACTGCCAAGGAATGGAATTGTGATGTTTAATGGCTCAGCCATAAGGGCTGGGTGCAGGTGGAGATGGGGTGGGGACCCTCTTCACATCACAAAACCCATAGCCTTTAAAATATTTTTATCACACTTTCACTTTATTTTGCTTAAGATTTGGTATTAAAAGAAAGCTCGTGGCACTTGGCGTATCCTATTAAAATGCAAATGTCGACCACAAGTTGCTTGCTAGATGTGCCGTCGGTGTTAATTTATAAAAAGTAATTGTGTCAAAGAAGGAATGAAAAGAAATGTCCACACTTACATTTTGGTCTTCCAGGTGAAGGAAACTTGACCTTCCATTTCTGGAATTTGTTACATAGCTTACTTTCAGGAAAAAAAAGTTTAATGTAGAAATGTTTGGGCAATATATGGTACTTTTTGGTGAAGGGGATCATTTTTTGTTATTTCTGTAATAAAATGCATTGATGAACTTGAGTGATTCATGTGTGCAGTTCTTTAAAGTAAAGCAGCTTAAAACAACACCTGCTTGTCTTCTGAAATATTGAGTTTGTTTGTTTTGTTGCCAGTAAGGACATTTCTCTGCACGCAAGCAACAAAAGTTTTGTGCTGTAGATTTGCCTTTAAATCCAACCAGGGATGGTGGTATGAAGTTCTCTTGATGTTTTGAGTGCTTTCCCCTATCTGCTTATATGTGTGCTCAAATAGGAATCAAAACAGGATATACATTCAAATATAAAACCCATTTGAAAGTAGTGATTAGAGATAACAAGTAGGAAAGGAAGGAAGGAGAAAAAAATGGGGCCACACTTTTAAGACCAGGTGATTTTTTTTATTTTTGCATAATCTTTCATGGTTATAAACCCGCTCCTTTGTATGCAGTACTTACTGGTATTAAACCAGCGTTTCCCAACCTGGGGGTTACGAGAGTGTTCCAGAGGGGTCACCAAAGACCATCAGAAAATATATTTCTAATGGTCTTAGGAATCCCTTTGGCAGAGAAGGCTGAAGATCTCTCCACCTGTCCTTCTCTTCCTTTTTGAAAGCAGAGTTGAATCCTCCCACCAAAAGCCTTCCTCCGCTGTGATTGGTCAGCCTCTCAGCCAAGGGGAGGGCTATTTCTATTTTCTACCAGTGTTCACATTTGAGCATATTGAGTATTCATGCCAGGTTTGGTCCAGATCTGTCATTGTTTGAGTCCACAGTG